TCATCGGGGTAAGTGATTCTAACTCAGATTTGGCTAGAGTACATGAATCTATCATTGAATTCATCATTTAATTCATGATTTGGGATGGAATTTGGGAAGAAAATTATGAAATCTTTCAAAGATGTAAAATGATGATTTGAAGGACCAAATGGTACCAGAATTGGATAATTTTCATATGGTTAAACTCGTGAGAGTATAAGGATTCTAGTTTTGTGAATTTTGTCAAATTTCGAGATGTGGGCCCGGGGGTCGGGTTTGACCAAATTTTGGAATTTTGTGGTAATTCGATTGTTTTCACTTGGGCTTTGTTCCCTCAGCATATTGTGACGTATTCGTTCTGATTTTGGATAGATTCGACGCACGTGGAGGCCGATTCGAGGGGCAAAGGCATCGCGAGCTAGAGAATTAGCCGGTTCGAGGTGAGTAATGATTGTAAATGGTGCCCTGAGGGTTTGAAACCCCGGATTTGCATATCGTAGTGCTATATTGAGGTGAGACGCGCGCTTAATGATGAGCGTGGGGTCGTTTACCATTGAGGAATGTGACTTGGTCCGCCCCGATTGATGATTTTACCGCGTATTCGACTGAAACATGTTTGTTATCATCATGGTTTGGGCTGATTGCCATATTTGGGCTTTGTGCCAACTATTTGACCCCTCCGGGGATTTTTATCACTATTTCCTCACTGTATTGATTTATTAGTTGAACTCAGTCCTATTGTTTCCTACTGGTTTATAACTCAGCCACTCTTACTCAGTTTTGAGACTTAAATGATATTTCTAAATGATGTTTTGGGCTGAGAACTACTGTTTTACTAATGCTCGAGGAGCTTGTGATGATTTTCGGACTGAGTGAGGTCGAGGGCCATATGTGAGTATATGTTGAGTGATATGAGGCCGAGGGCCTGAGATATTTTTATACGCTACGAGGTGGCTTGAGTGATGTGAGGCCGAGTGCCGAGAGATGATGCCACGAGGTGGCCTGATATAGCGCTTGGGCCGTAAGGGGCCCCTCCGGAGTCTGCACACCCACAGTGAGCACGGGTACCCATCATGATCTGAGAGTGAGCCCGATGGCCTGATATTGTACTGAGAGTGAGCCCTAGGGGCTGATATTGTACTGAGAATAGGCCCGAGGGGCTGATACTGTTCTAAGAGTGAGCCCGAGGGGCTGATACTGTTCTGAGTGATTGATATTGTGCCCGAGGGGCGGATTTCTACTTGTTATTTACCTGCCAAACTACCTGTTTTACTTGTTTAAAAAGGGATTTAACTTGATTTCTTCACGGATTTACTGCTTTAAGTGATTTTACTGCTTTGATATAGAATTGCCTTGTGCTTTTACGTGTTTTTATGCTTTTATCCATTATTTATATTTGTTACTCACTGAGTTGGAGTACTCACTTTACTCTCTGCACCCCTGTGTGTAGATTCAGGCATAGCAGATCCCGCTCCTGAGTGCTGATCCTCCCAGTCCAGGCGGGGTTTCGGAGACTACGAGGTAGTTATTGGCGTCCGCAGCCCCCGTGCCTCCCTTTATCTTATTAATTCTATGTTTTTCAAACTACTGTACCAGACATCGTACCTAGTAGACTCGTATTAGGATCATTAGTTGCTCATGACTTGTGACACCCCGGTTAGGGCTGTGTTGGGTTGTACTTCCACATATTATTGACATTATCCGCTACTTAGTATTGCTATATCATGTTTTAGACTGCTTTTATGATATTTAACTGTTTAAAAAGTAAATTGGGTGTAATTGGCTGGTCTTGTCTTCACGAAAGGCGCCATCACGACCGGGTTCGAGTTTAGGGTCGTGACATTAACATAAAAAAATTAACCCATGTCATCAAGACAATAGAAATACCTTGAAATTTGTGAGCTTTCATCAACTGCATAACAACTATGACCGGCTGATGGGGTGATCCCTCTAAATGTGGCAAGATTTGGTCAACGAATTCTCCCCAAAATATTGCCGAGATATTATTCCTCCTTTGTAATTTATATAACAACTTAATCAGACAACGATAAGTAATCATGTTAATATATAACAAAGTAAATTCATAGACGCAATCTTACTCATGATCTTCAAGTTCCACATTCATATAAGTGCTGGTTTTATCACCTTGGTTATGGGATTCTACTTCACCATAACTTACAACCTCTCCAATGACATCTATAATAATTTTAAAAAAATGAGCAGGAGAAAGTTGATAAGACATTCAAATAATAGAACTGCGAATTGAATACTTACCAAAGAGTTCACTTTCTTCAACATCAATTTTGTTTATCAAATACTCATAAGGTTTTAAGTCGAAGATACTCATACCAAAAAGATGATCATTTGCTTCCTCTACAATCGTCTTATGAGTAAATGTCAACTTCAATTTATGCCGCGTATAGTTAAGTTTCGTATAATTTGGTCAAACCATAAAGTTCTTCATAAAGTACAAACCCAATTTTTTTATCTTTGGTTTGAACATACGTATAAGAGACCGACCAACAGTCGCATGAATACGATCGCCCTAGAAACAAAAAATTCATAATTAATATTGAGTCAGACAAATACTCAGTTGTACAGTGTTGTCACAGAGTATATTAAACAATGAAGCATCAATGGGTAAATCCTATATGTGAATATAGCATATTTGATGGTAAATACTTTTCATAAGACAATAATCTTAGATATTATATTGTCTAAGATATCCAAAAAATTCTCGCAAGTAAAATACTAAATTGCATATTAAGAGTTAGCATCATTCACACCTAATCTATATATATGGAAAAGCTGTATTCGAGGTATCTCCATCTAGATCATAAAAATTAAAATTGCAGTTGATTAAATACACGTGTAACCTAATGAATTTCATAGTATAAAGCAGAAGATGGAGATTGTAGTCAAATTACGGGAAAATATTAATGCAACTAAAAAAGAATACACCTTTTCGTCTTGAATAATTAATTCAAGGAAGACGGTGTTGTCTCGTATATTACAACTTGAATTTTTAATAAATTAATTTGCAATGTGTATTTTTAAGATTTTACCACTTGGCATTCTAATAATTTGCCACTTGGTTAAATGAGAAGGCAAACTTCTTTGCTTTAATATATATATATATAGATTATTCATGATATCTGGAAACTAAAGTTATTTTACTCATCTCTGACAATGGATTTTTTCAATTTCTACTCAAGTGGCATTCTTTTTTCTAATTACAGACACTAGTATAATTAAGTTTGATTAAAATAGTTAAATGCAGGTAAAAAGGAAGACAAATGCAACGGTATGTCTTTTGTATATTTTGTATCTAATTTATACATAGTAAACATAAATTTCATACAACTAATTATATATTATATAATTTATCTACAACTTATTTACAATTTTTACACATTATTTCTACCCAGTTAAATACAACTACAATAACATACAACTTAAATACAAATTTTATACAATATGTCTTTTGTATCTGATTTATACATAGTAAAAAAAATCATACAACTAATTATATATTATACAACTTATCTACAATTTTCATACATTATTTCTACTCAGTTATATACAACTACAATATCATACAGCTTAAATATAATTTTTATACAATGTTGTTCAACTTTCATACAATAGTTAAATAAATAAAAGAAAAATAAATAAACAACATAATACAATTTTTCTATAATTTTACTACAATTTTTGCAATATAATGTATGTCATGTCTTCTTCTTCTTCTTCTTCGAGTTTCAATCTGAAATTCAGCCAAAGCCAAGTCTAATCTTCACCAAAACCCCTCAAAATTGAGATATAAACTCCAAACCATATTTCCAATTAATTGCAACAATACTCAATCCAAACAAATAATGATTTTTGAAAACCCAAATTCGAATTCAAAGCTTCAAAGCTTTTTAATGGATGTCAATGGTGGAATTGCTGCTCTCTTTTCCTTTGCTTTACATTACTGAAATTTGGGATTGAGAGATAGAGAGAGACGTAGAGAGAATTATCAATTCTTTGCAACAACATCCAATCCAAACAAACAATGTTTTTTGAAAACCCAAATTCGAATTCAAAGCTTCAAAGCTTTTTAATAGTTGTCAATGGTAGAATTGATGCTCTCTTGTGCAAGATACGTGGGGGGATGTGGAGAGAGAAATGTGAGGGAGTGAAAGATATGTTAGAGGGTCTCCTGGAAACAGCCTCTCTACCCCTAAGGGTAGAGGTAAGATCTGCGTATATACTACCCTCCCCAGACCCCACTAGTGTGATTACACTGGGCCGTTGTTGTTGTTGTTGTAATTATTATCATTAATTCCCTTAAAATGTACATAAATGGTAATTGGGTATCTAAAATGTAATTATAGTAAAACTTGAGTATGAAGGGTAATATAATTTCATATAGTGTATAGGAATGTAAAAAATCCATTTTTAATTTCGCCCGTAATAATCACACCAGCAAAAGGTAAAAATAGCACGGTATAGCCAGTTTTGGGAGTGGTCATTCAAAAATAGTCAGCGTTTACCAAGTCAATGAAAAATAGCCACTATTTTGCTGCAACAGAGATCGGTCCAGCATAATATACTGGAGTTCGGTGCACATGTGTATGAACTCCACCATATTATGCTGGATCGGTATACTTTGCTGGTTCCAGTATATTATGCTGGACAGATATACTTGCTGGAACTTCAGTATATTATACTGGAGTTCTAGTATACTTATGTTGGAACTCTATCATATTATGGTAGAGTTCCAACATACTTATCCTGGAACTCCGGTATAATATGCTGGAGTTCAAGAATACTTATGTTGGAACTCCAGCATAATATACTAGCGTATTTTCCGGGTTTTGAACAGTATTTTTCGCTCAGATTTATCTTTACATGAAAAGTGGCTAAATTTCGATTACTTTTGAAATTGAGCTATTTTTGAACGACCAGTTGTAAATTTGGCTATTTTTAAATTTCTCCCAGCAAAAGAGCCCAAATGAAAAGCCCATAAAAGGCCCAAAATTGACTATTAGCTCCTTCCAAAGACGCCGGCGATCGGACACGATGAAGCGGAAATGAACCAAAAGGAAGTCAGCAACGCTGCTGGCGGCACAGCCCATCACCGGTGGTGGGCCGCCGCGAGCACAGGCCAGTTAGTATGGGGAATTCACGCTTTTAGAAAAGGTTACGCCGGTGAATGTCGACTGATGCCGCTTAAAGCCTTCGGCGTCGCCTCGCTTTTCGTCGGCGCCATCGCTTCCGCCTCCGTTGCCTCTCTTCAGGCCTCCGGCATCCATTCCGTAAAGTTCTCTCTCTTTTCTCTTACCTTGTTGATGCACTAAAGAAATTTTGTCATTTCTTAGCATATTATTTGACTTCAGTTGACTAATCTACACAGACTAATTATTTCTAATTGGTAGGGTTTATCTCTTGTGTGGAGGAATTTGAGATCCATTCTATTTTGTGTGACAGCATGGAGTTAAAGACCCGACATTGTAGAATCTGAATAGTTTAATGAATTTTAATTCTTGAAAGTTGTATAGAAATGGAATAGTGTAAAAAACTTTGCGACATCTTTGAAAAGGAAAGAACATGGGATAAACTGGGATGAAGAGAGTACTCATAAGGGTTGAATTAATGTGTTACATGAGTGTAATTAAGTTCTCATGTGTATCCAAAGACATGCAGATTAAGCTTCTGAATTTGAAATAACCAGTTCATTCTAATGGGACCTTATATTGATCAGGTATTCAGACTTACTTGATTTAAGTAGGGATCTAGATGCTGAGTGTTAATATAATCTTTTTGTGACGGAAAAAGAAGAGTGAAAAAGAAAATTGAGATTTACGATGGTATTATTGTGCATTGTCTTGTATATCAGTTAACTTCTGAGCTATGAGCAGCTATCTGGGTTTTCTTTATGATTGATGTTATATGATTTTCCTTTATACATATGTCTAGGTGAAGAATCAATACTTACGGGGTTTTCGTCTAGAAGTTGAAAACTTTAAAGTATATAACATCCAGTAGTAAGAATTCAAGCTTGTTTGCGAAATTAGGGTCTGACTTTCAATTATTTGAAATTCTTGATAAGGTTTTTATGTAAGGCTTATCAATAAGGCATTAAGAACATCTCCAATTACAGGTCGGAATGAAATGTATTGCATGCAGGGATTAAATCGTGCTGAATTCTGTTCCAGTGCGGGAAATCTTTCTGCTTATTGAAGTATTTGGAGAAAAAAAGTCTGCATAATATCAAATTTCATATTGATATATCATGCTCAAGTTGGTAATAGTATGACTATTAGCTGCATATGTTTTGCTTGCTCTTATGGTAGATTGATTCAGCCTATTCGGTGCGAACTAAGCAGATCTATTTTTGTTAGGAAACTTGCCTCAATTTCATTTCCTACGGCTTTTTCATTCTACCTGAGCATTACTAAGTGCCAATGTGGATTAAGTGATACAGTAGCTGGTATGCCACAAGATGGGAATAGCGAGAGGCCTATTGCCTGCCTATGGATTGAAGCAACTATTAGAAGGATGGTTGAGTAATGTTATTGGATAGAATGATTTGCCCTGGATTGACGTTTTGTTGTTGTTTCTATTGTTGGTGGTCGTAGAAAGTAGAAACAAATTGATGCTTTTAGCATGTTACAAATTGGATATGTTCATCATGGAAAGTACTCAGCTATTGACAAGTTACATGTAGATTATTTCGTTTCACCTTGTTTTTCTTACACGGTTGTCTTGCTTATTTATGTGGGTTCATATGATATTGGAAACGTGTTGTCACAAAACATTGTTTTACTCTTATCTTTTAACTATGCTGATGCATGCAAATTGAAATTGTGTGGATCACAAATTTTATTTTATTTTTCTTTTTCCCTATGCTTTTTAATTGGTCATGTAATCATAGAAAAATGATCATTTCTTTCCATTTTCCACTAAATCAGCAAAATCATAGAATCAGAACCCTTATTTTTATTAGTATGAAGTGTTAGTAACATTGCAATTGTGTTTGCCCACATAAAGCTCATTGGCAGACCTTATCACTTGATTTTAAGCGTAGGAAGAAGGAGAGAAAATGCTTATATATGGATGTAGTCCTACTGGAAGAAGATTAGGTCTAGTTCAGCTGTAAAATTAAACCTTTTAATTTCATCCAGTACAAGGCTGTTCAATATAATCTTTCCGACTAGTGGCAAGGTATTCATGTAATAGCCCAATATTAATTTCATCCTATAGGTTCCAGTACTGAAAGTTTGATTTGTAGTTAGAACATGATGTATCTATTTGCTTATCAAAAGCAAAACATTATGTGCCTGATTTATTTTGTTAAAGACAGTAGTTATCACATCTATCTTAGTTTTGAAATTGTGTGCACTAATTGGTTGTGAAATACGTAGGTGGAAGACATGAAGGCTGTTGGGGCAAGCATAAGAACCGGACTTGGGTTAACACGAAGGGCACGGGATGACTAAGTATTTTGAGCACTATCTTGAATCAGTAGCCTATAGAATGTTGAAGTATGAAGATTATCCATCTCTGTGTAGTTTCTTGCTAAAATCATTCCAAGGGGAGCACATAGCTGAAAAGGGGTACCCACTCATTAACGATTTTAGCATTCGAGGCTGACAACTTTTCAATCTTAATCCAAGTGATTTCACACATTTTCTGGAATGGCAGCTTTAGCTGATAAATTAGTCACCCTCTTCTGCCACCTCTCATTCAGTTGTGCGACATTTTTCTTGGTGCTTGTAAGTTGTAACTGCAGCATTTTCCTCTTTCCCTTCAGCTAAAGTGTTTTCATGTTGGATGGGACTAAGAAATAGTACTGTAATGGAAAATACTTATCACCAGGTGCATGTACTGAAAATAAAAGTGCATGATATGTGTTTTATACGTATTCTTACTTCAATTTATCAGTTAAATGTGATAAATTAAGGCATTAGGTCCAGATAAGTTTTTCCAACTATACACATATTGTATCATATTAGTTTCTGATACATGTAAAAGAAAGTAGCAGCTGGCTAACTCATTGATGCCTTTTCTTTCCTTTTTAAACTTAAAAAGAGTCAAATCTCTTTCAAGCAGGTGTTATGTGGAAGATTGAGGAAGCAAAATGGGTATAAACCAATTAAGCCACTCAAGGTTCATTAGGTCTCAGTTGGTTTTTTTTTTTTTTTTTTTTTTTTTTTTTTTTTTTTTTTTTTTTTTTTTTTTTTTTCTACTACAAGATGCGTTGTTTGAGTGCCTCACCAATGACCAGCTCTCTCTAGATTTACTAATCAAGTCTGATCTGCATTATCTCTAAAAAAATGTCAACTCTCTCCCTCTCTCACTCGGTATGCATACATACACACATATGGCATTTCTTTTTAGGCGGATAACCCCTTGAACTCACCAGTATCTTTCATTTATATAGTCGAACTAAGACATGTTCCAATTAAACATCTGAACACATGATAAAGTTTTCATATAATGAAGCATGAGTAATTCTTTTTTTAGGACATAGGAATATGCTACACTTTTTCACAAGGGCTCGGCCAAGTGGAAAATCAAATGACAGGCATAGGCACATAAAAGGCCCCTTTTCAAGTTATTCCTGGGGGTTTGCGATTTGAGGCCACATGGGTTGAACCTCCGGGTAGATGGCTAATTGGCTATGAAATCGAAAGTAAAGATCCTTTATCTAATCCTAAGTTCTATTAGGCTGACGGTGGATAACAAATATTGCTCGAAAATGTTTTTCTTGAGAAAATTGCAGAAATATAAAGTNGGGGGTGAGAGACGAAAGTCTTCCATGGGAAATAAATTAGCAGCTTTTCTTGCAACTTCCTTATGATGCACAAAAAGTAAACTTTCTAAATTTTCTTAGCGAAGCTAACTATTATCAGAGTCCATGGTTCAACCAAAAGAACTTGAAATCAGATGTGTCATCTTGAGAGCTCTCAAGCGAGTTGAAAAGAATATGGAGCATTATCAACTGCATCTAGGCGTTTATGAAAAGAGCAGGCACTGCATACTTATGTGGATATTCAGGCAGGTACATACGACTCGAGCATCAACTGAGCTGGTGACGGTGATTTGATCTCAACGATCAAGTATGTGAACTTCCACTGCCTATCCACCTTGTCCTGAAACATCTCTGTATAAACCTTGCCAGCTCCATGTGGTCCGCGGATATAAAAATTGACCTACACTCAGTTTAATCACATAAACGTAAATATATATTGGAGAAAGTAGAAGTAACACCAAGCAAACATTCAATATGTGCAAGCTTGAACTCGGGAAGAGAAAGAATCAAAAGGATAGGGATCATACGAAAAAATAGTCACCTCAACATGCTCAACTCCGTCTTCGTCAGTCCATATCCTATTGGGGATGCGTTGGCGTGCAGCACGGTTTCTACTTTCTGATCCATAGCCTGTTACAGGGGATCCAATTCTTACACTAACCTGGCGTAAAGAATAGCATACACATGCAACTGATCAGTTCAAGTACAACCAGAATCAAAATACATAATAAACTGATTGTTCGGAGTTAGTGCTAATTATGAACTCTATCTACTCGTATGACTCAGCAAGCCAGTAAAGACTGCCCCAGTTGGTACTTAGGAAATAAGATCTTTAAGTGCAGCCTCGCCGCTGTCATCCAGTCTACAACTCAATCCAAAAATTATATGTAGTAAATTAATGGCAAGGATTTTAGGGGCTAGGAACATACTTGACCATCATTTTGAATCCTCTTGAGAGCTTTATCAAAAATTTTGTACCTACAAGAAAATTACTTTAAGCTAGATTGAAGAAAAAGAAGAATTCAAGGTTTATGTCAACCTACTTAGAGAGCCTAAATGCAACCCTTACTCTTTTGGCTGAAAAATGAGTTCCTTAAAAACTCCATATGCTGCACCAGCAGCAACTGCAAGTCCGGCAAGAATGACAAGGCTATAAGAAGCTCCCTCAGTAAATGTCACGGGCTTCTCTGGAATATTGTAGGTAGGAGCATCAAAGGGATCCTCAACAGTAGATACATCCTTTCGAGCCTGTACAAGTAGGACAAGAAAGAAATGCATTCGTTGTCATATTGGGAGCTATACTTCAAGGGTAATCTCCAAGTTTTATATATTTCCGCAATAATTTTCCTCAATATATACCAAAATGGTGTAACTGCATAGAATAGATATGTGGTTCAGTCTCATGCTTCTTCTCCTCTTTGAATTCATGTTTTGGGGTCACACCTTTCCAATGGTGTATACTTGTATAAGGACAACACATCAATACAATAAGGACCTTTACAATGTTGTAAAAGTTATGAAAAATTCTCATTGAAATTATGTTTTGGAAGAGGATACTTTGATATGGTAAATATAAAGTAATCAAAGTTGGCTACCCACTTAAAAGTTTTACACTAAGGCTCAAAGATTATATAACCATCTTATGTAGTAACTTGCGGAGAGAGAAGCAAAAAATGGGGCATTTTCCCATTTCTTGATTTCCACCCGAAGGTAGCGAAGAGGAAATGCCCATCTCCATTTTTGCAAATAACGAGCAGCTCTAAGTGGAGAAGCTTAGAGCTTGCTTGAGATTATTCAAATCAAAAGTGGTAACAATCTCAAGAAGTTTTCAAGAACACTTAAATCTTCCGAGGCTAGAATTTCACTACAACAAGGTAATTTCACCATTCTCTCTTCAATTATAAAGTCCAAATGATATTAATTAAGTGTATTTGGGTAGAATGTGATTGAAATTTACTATTAAAGTAAATCCAAAAATGACTTTTCATGACATTAAAGAGTTGAAAAAAGAAGAAGATGAATAGTATTTGTGGTTAATAATTGAGTTAATTAATGACTCTAATAATTTCATTGAGCTGATGTATGCTTTGTAATGGCATTTTGGACCTAAATTATGAGAGCAATCGAGAAGAGAAGTATTGGATGGCTTGATGCAAATTGTGAATCCGGAAATAGGTTATGATGAATTGATTGAACTTTAATTGATGAAGTTCAATTGTAAGTGTTGTAGATTGATAATTGTTGAACATATTAGACATGTTGAATGTATCAAGTCCGTTATTGGGAGCGAAATAGAGGTAAGCTAAGACATATCTTACTTTAAGGAGTTATGCTAAAAGTGCATGAAAGTGAGTCTATGATGAAGTCTAAAATGTTTGTATAGTTTTGTATGATCGAGCGAGCTATACATTCCATGTTTGAAATGAAATGGGCTATCGTATGCTTAAATATCTAGATTGAAATGTTGGTTATACTATTGCCTTGAAATAAATAATAGCACCATGATGAGTTCATAACGACTTGATAATGTCCGTCATGATATTATACATGGCACAGTGATGATGATGATGATGATGGTGATCTCAATTGGTTATATTCCTTTTGTGAGGAACAATTGTTGAGCGAATGTTTTACTTCTGCCTAATAGACCCCCCCCCCCCCCCCCCCCCTTTATATCCTTATCCAGAACTCCCTAACTTAAATAAGAAATTGCTAAAATAATGCTTTGACTTAAATTATGTCATCTTATCACATAAATGCATTTCATTGTTTCAAGCTTTATTAATTGCATTGTCAAAATGTCACGTTATATTTTTACCTTTCTCAAAAAAAAAAGGTCATGATATACTATTTTATCTTGTATCCCGGGGTTTCAAAGCCAGTGCTCAAGAATCTTTTCGGGAGGAGTTAATGATACTCAAGGGTATGATTTCATAGAAATTATACTCAGCCTCCTTCGTGGGACAACTTACTTGACGTTTCAGATATTGTAGCATCTGAAGGTGACAGCACGAGACTATGCGTCTCCTTTATTCTCTACTATACTTTGGTGACCCTGCTTCTTTTATCAGTGGGTGCATCTAGAGATTATATTAACTTTGTATATGTCTATAGAGGCCCCAATGACGTTGTGCGCAAGTCTAGTCATGTAGATGGGCTTTATATTTTTATTTCTCATAATTCATTCCGCACTCATGTACTTTGGCCAAATGCCTAATTATGTTTTGAGTTAAAAAGGAGACTTTGAAACCAAATGATTTAAAATGGTTTCTAAATGTTTCAGTATTATATTAAGACAATACATCAACATATTATGGTGTTGTAAGCGCTCAAGCAATAACCTAATTTACAGGTACCACATGTTTTTTCTCTTATGCGATGATTAATAATGTAGGAATTGTTAATAATGAAGTTGTTATGCAGGGATTACTTACTTTAAGGGCATTTTTGCCTTTAAATACTTTAATGCCCCTATTGCTAATACATACATGGAGTATATTTTATTTCATATTCTACCGCATAAAATAATATGTACAGTCCTGTATAATTTAATGCAGGTATTAGTTAACACATCAACCAAATGCTGCAAAAAATTATACAGGCTTTATTTTTTCATATGCGACCAACCAAATGAATGCATACGTTCATACATGAAATATTCTTTTAATCCCTCTAACCAAACACATTATAAATTTTATGCTTGGATTATTTCTCTGATCCTTCCAACAGTCCAACCAAACGACCACATAGAGAGAGATCTCATATATACCTAAAATATAAGATATGCATACCAGTTGGAAAAAATAGTAGCTAAAACTAACAGAAATTCCTTTTTTTCTTGGTAATTAACTAACAGAAATTCTGATTAGGCAGATCCTGCGCTATCCACACTAACTAGGTTTCAGACAGGAAATTTTATTCAACAAGTCATAAATCTTCTACTACGAGAAATACAAAAGACCAACAACCATGCTATGTAAAAAAAATTAGTTTTGTTAAGCAATAAAATCAATGATTCGTCAGTGTTACCTTTTGGAAACATCATACAGTTTGGAGATCATGAAGGACAAATAACCCAATAGCAACTTGACAGACTTGGTAATGAACCT